GGGGCACTAAAAATTGAAATCACGGGGTAAGAGAGGCAGCAGCCGGTATAAAATATGGAAAGAATTATAATTTATAAAAGGGTAACAGATGGGGAGGGAGGTGGAAAAGAGCAGCTGATATAAAGGGCTGAAATAGAAAGTGAATGTTTAGAAAATAATGATGGCAAAATATGTACAAATATGCTTGATACAATTGATGTATGGGTCGTTATAAGAGCTACCAATAAAATGATCTTTTAGTTAAAAAAATAAATATGAGTTATACTCTCGGAAACCCACAGAGCAGTTGGGATGCTGTCCTGTAGGGTCACTTTGAGGTGGAACAGATTATGGCAATGTGAAATCTCCGGAGAGCAGTTTGTAGTTTTGATGCCAACCTGGTGGGAGAGCATTCCAGTGCTTACCAAATATTATCAGCAGGGCCACAAAATGATAGCAGTAGATTTCCATAAAGAAGGATTAAATATGTCTGTAAAGTCATTGTTAAAAGCGTAGGTCTTTTATATGAAAATTCTAACTTCATGATTTGTAGACTTCATGAACTTGAATGGAACGTAACAGCATTAGTTATGCATTTTCCTTTCATTCCATTGCATAGCTCAACAACAAAATTTTTTTCTTGGTGTCTTGCTTTGTAGGCCTGTTTCTGGGTCTATTTGGGGTACTGATTCTGAAATTTGCATAGTGTAGACAGTATTACCTCCTGCTTCTTAGATAAGGTGTTCCACTATATTTCAGCTATTAATTGATGCTAATTTATTAATTAATAGCCATATTTTGAAATATGAGAATAATTCAGATGAACAAATCTTGAGATAAGATAAAAAAGGAAATAAATATTTGATAAAGAATTGGTTACTAAGGCATTTGCAAGGGAAGCTGTTAGGAGCCCTGGTGATGTAATGGTTACATATTGACTTATGATCAGCATGGTCAGAAGTTCAAAACTACAAGCACTTCTATTGGAGAAAGACTGGGCTTCCTACTCTTGCAAACAGTTACATTCTCACAAACTCACAGCAGATCACTATGAGGCATCATTGGCTTCATGGCACTGAGTTTTGAGAAGGAAACCTGTATTTGGACACATGGTGGCTAGTTGGTTATACATTAAGCTGCCAATCATACTGTTAGTGATTCAAGCCCATCTGTCACTCTGCAGCCCTTGAAAGATTGAAAGGGTTGGAAATGGAAAGAGGCAGCTCTTGTCTGTCCTACAAAGTCACTGTGAGTTAAAATCTATTAGATGGCAGAGGCTTTTGTTGTTGTTGTTGTTGTTGTTGTTGTTGTTAGGGAAAGCTGTCCGATATATACAGAGAGACTATGAGTTGGATACCACAAAGGCAAAACACAGCTTGAAAACAGCACAAAATGTCTGAGGGAAGCAGAGTGTGGAAAATATAAGACTTGGCGGAAATTTTAAAATTTATGGAAGATCCAGATTTTTCTTCTTCAAATTAGTCAATACATATTTCAGAACACATTTCAATATATGGAAATCAATGGATAATTCATGCTGAATGTTTCAGAGGTGAGGTTGTCTCTAAGATACTTTAATAGAAAAGTGCCAACTTTTCTTTTCTTACTTTCTATGCACAGGTGGAGAACTTGTGTCATCTTAGAACAAGAATGGAACATTTTAATTTAATAAATGAGTTTGAATTATGGCAGACCCATTTTGGGTTCAGAACATTTGAATCTCGATTTATTGTATCAAATTCACTCCCAGACATTTGATTACAACTCATAGCAACCCTAGAGAACATAGCTTCTGACAGCAGACACACTTCTGTTGTGGGTCTCTGAGGCTGGAAGTCTTTATGGGGGCAGTATGTCAACCTTCTGCTTAACTGTCAAACACCTAACCCACTTGGTAAAGGGACTATATTCCACATCTCAAAACTAGAGCTGGTCGCTGCTGTTATTGGAATCAGCAGGTCAAATATACCCATTTTGGAACCAGCAGGTCAAAGATCCCCAGGAATAAGTCTAACATTTGAGGCAACAAATGTGTGTCAGCCAGTGTTATCAAACTAGATTAATAAAATAAAAAGTATATTTTGTAGTTTCTTAGATATTATAGTTTGTACGGAGTCATTGGCTTGTCTGAGGTTTGGGAACGTTGACGAAGGAAGATAGTGCTTCCAGATAAGCATGCAATCAAAGGCCTTAGAGCTTCTTATTAGGTTTGTTACCTCTCATGTGTTTGACTCTCCCATCCTGTACTAAAAGCAACAACACTAGAAAAAGAAGCCCTGGTGGAAAAGAGGTTGGTAATTCAAACCCACCAGTCAAGCTGAAGGAGAGCGATAAGGTTCATTTTGTAGAAATATGTGGTTGATAAGGTTGGTCACTGTGAGTCAGAGTCCACTTAATGGCAGTAGGTTTGGGTGTGGGGTATATTCTATATACTCAGGAGCCCTGAACATGTGTTAGGCACATGTTGGACTGCTAACTGACAGGTTGGCAGTTCAAAACCACCAGCCACTCCTCAGAAAGGAGAGCATGCTTTCTACTCTCATAAAGAGTTACAGGCTCAGAAGCCGTTCTGTGATTTTTCCACATCACCACTCAGCGTCCTTTGTAGTTCCTGTTTAAGCTAATTCCACCTCTTTTTCTTTATACTACTTCTTTAATAGATATTCATATGGACATTAAAGTTTCACTGTCTTTTCATATTGATTTCCCACTTGATTCTCTCAACAATCCTGGAATTAATGTGAAGAATAAATACTGTCACATTCCTTAAAATAAAAGACCAAGATCAAACAAATTTAAATAACCTTTCAAAGGCATACACACTCATACTAGGAAAGGAAGAACTCGATGCCTTCTGGTATCTTTCCTGGTGTGACATTACAAAATGCATGTTTAATAGGCCATCCATAATGCTTAGGATATGCACCTTTTGTCTATATGAAACAAAAACAATATATATTGAAATATTCAAATCTAAGGTCTTAAATAGAATCCAGGTAGATGAATGCCTTGACAAATTTTCCCAGTTTTCTTTATCCTTACTAATTTACATACACTGTATAGTTAACCTAAAGGCTTACCTTGGGGCTTGAGCAAGGCAAACTACAAATCCAGCATCTTCACATATGAGTATTCCTCAAATAAGAAATTCTGTCCATAAGCTTCTCTGGAAGTTCTTCTTTTTTGAATACTGAAAAGATAAGATGTTCTTTAGAGACAGAAAGAAAATAAAGAACTCATTTGTCTTGGAATCAGCTAGCACGACTAGTAGTCTTGGATCTGTTGCTTCCTGTTGTCAGATAAGTCAACTTCTTCAACCTCATATCAGGGTAAGGAAATAATCTAAAAGTAGCTTCCCCAAGATCCTCTAAAACACAGGTGCTATGATGAAAAATAAGAGGGGATCATTATAAACACAAGCAACATCATTATTTGGGACTTTTCTGGATTCATTATTGTAGGTTTTAAGTCATATCTAAGATTGAAGAAAGCTCACTGTTATAAATAAACAGCTCTTAGCAATCAGAGAAATGAAGTAATGGTCAAAGTAGCCTTGATTCTTGCATTTTTCACTCTTATATGAGGCCAGTTGGATTCATGTGGAAATTTAAAAGGGTAAATGCGAGGATCCAGGAAGTAGTTAGGCTGTCATGGAACTCCCAGCTGACAAATCTCCCATGAGGGCTATAAAAAATGTCTCCCATGTGACAAGGAAATGTGATTACATCTTCACTAGGTCCTCCAATTTGATTATTGAGGAGATTATGAATGGGTTTGCATCACATAAACTAATTATGTCTAATAATGCACAAATCAACCTAAAGCAATACTTCATAGAAGCAATGGGGTGTGACCCTCAAGGTCTACAGTTTAAAACCGCCAGCTGCTCCTCAGGAGAAAGACATGGCTTCCTACTCCTGAAACACAGTCTCAGACACCCACGGGGGGCGTCGCTTAAGTTGGTTTTGACTGGATGGCAGAGAGTTTGGGCTTTGGTTAGGTTTTTGTGTATATAACTCCTACATGTGTTTACTTGTTTAATTTCTGTTTAATTTCTCAATCCCCATTAGATTGAGCCATGTGATTACATGAATGTTTACACACCACATAGCTATACCCAGGAATTACATATGTATATAGAATTTTATATATTTATGCTTATAAAGTATATTTAAGAATGTATTGTATTATACATTTAAGTATATACTTAAATTGTATATTTAAGAGTACAGATGATAGAAGAAATTATATTTCCCAAAAAGTTAGCATTTCAGCCAGTCTTTAACATGACAAAGCATCCAGACGGGAAAGAAAGTTGCTCTACACAAAATGTAAAGTGTGTACTAAAGGTCCTAGGTTTCAAATAATATTGAATTATGTGCAAAGCATAAAAATAGGATGAAAGGAAGGGAGATGGGTACTTTATTGAGAAGAATTGGTCTACACCCAATGACTTCAAACAGTAGAATGTGGCGAGGAATCAATGCCTTTGAAAGAAGAATCCATGCTGCAATGCAGTCATCATCAGTGAAAAACTAGGCTCCAACAATTGATGGACTAATTATGAAAAGCTCCAAACTACTGATGCAGCACCAGCAGCACTCACTAGTCTAATTGAAGACATTTAGAGACACCTACCTGGCCAACTAACTTGGAGAAATCCTTATTGGGTCTATTCTAAAAATGGTAAGGTGACATAATAAAAGGTAGAAAATATTCAACAATATTATTAACATCATCCAAAAAAAACCTAACTAATTACCATCAAATTGATTCAGACTCATAGAAATCCTTTAGGACACAGTAGAGCCACCTCACTGTGTTTCTTAGACTGTAACTCTTTATCAGAGTAGCAAACCTTGTCTTTCTCCTGTGGAGCAACTGGTGGTTTGGAATCAAATAACTTGTGGTTAGCAGCCCAACCCATAACAATTACATATAAAGCACACAAACAAAATTCTTTTGTAGTCAATTAAAAAACAGCTGCAGCAAAACATCCACAGAGCGGGGCCAGAAATCCAAACTGTATTCAGTAGAGGAGGTTATATATAGCACCGAGAAGAAACACTTCACCTTTGGTTAACCGTCTATTAGAGGCTAGCAGATAGTGAGCAAGAATAATTTACTACATATTCAATTAAAATGCCATCTACACTCTTATTGAAAACAACGTGGTTTTTTTTCCAAATCATTTTACCAGGACATAATCTAGACGTCATATTATTCAATAGTTCAGTCATATCAAGCAGTGTTGTGCAATTGTCACCACAACCATTTTCAAAATCTTTTGTTCCTTGTACTCCTTGACATCAGCACCCCATTTCCCCCACTTCCCTGCTGTACCCCCAGAACCCTTGTTCTTATTATTGTCTCTGTAGATTCACTGTGCCTGTGTTTCATATATCAAAAATCCTAGAATGATGTATAACAGAGTTGATCATTCAACCAACAATACCAAAACATCAGAGATAAGCCACAATTTGGAGGGGGGAAAATGAAAAGAAAATATTAAAAACCAGATCAAGCTCTAGGTGTAAAAAAGGGAGATCAGATGATGATTTGCCCATTCCAGTCAGATATAGCATCTTAATCAACGACAACCATCTCTACAATAATTTCTTTATGATAAGCAGATTATTCCCATTTCTCACTTATGGTCAGGGGGATCACTGTAGATTTATTCCACGTGTAGATCCTGCAAAAGGGCTTTGTGTTTCCACTGCCATCCATAGCCTTCTGCAAACCAGAATTTCACAATTTAGATTCTGATTCTATTCCCTCCTTCGGATTTGGATTATATCACGTATAATCCTTGGATCACAGATGTTGCTGTGCTTCTTCCATGTGGGCTTAGTTGACATCTCATTTAGATGACTGCTTGTTTGAAAACAAGCCTTTAAGATCCCAGAAGCTCTTCTTTCTGATAGATTCACAACGGTGCCCAATCAAGACAGTCCATCGGGCAAGGAGAACCAACTTCACTCGCCTTCTCGGGATGCGGGTGCATTATTTAAATCATCTGATATCAAATCGGCAAGTTTAGAGGATCTCTGGGAAAATCTGAGTTTAAAGCCCACAAACTCCCCTCATGTGAATCTCTCTGCAACCCTGTCTCCAAAAGTGATTAATGAAGTATGGCAAGAAGAAACAATTGGGCGTCTACTTCAACTTGTGGACCTTTCCCTTCTTGACTCCTTGCTCAAACAGCGAGACATTGTTCCTAAAGCTCTTCAACCCACGAGGCAGCCTGACTTGATCTACAACAGTAGCTATCTGGACCGAAGGATTCTCAAGGCTTATAGTGACGCTCAGGAAGATGAGTGGCTCTCTGCAGCTACTGACTGCGTGGAGTACCTTCCCGACCAGATGGTGGTGGACATAAGCAGAAACTTTCCTGAGCAGCCACATAGAACAGACATCGTGAAAGGACTTTTGTTTGATGCCATTGGCAGCTATTACAGTCACAGGGCGCCTCTGTTGAATCACTTATCCGATGTCCATAATGGAATTGCCGAACTCTTAGTGAATGGGAACACTGAAATAGCACTGGAAGCTACACAGCTCTTTCTGAAGCTTTTGGATTCCCCAAACCGAGAAGAATTTAGAAGACTGCTGTATTTCATGGCTGTGGCCGCACATCCTTCCGAGTTCAAATTACAGAAAGAAAGTGACAATCGAATGGTTGTAAAAAGGATATTCTCAAAAGCAATTGTTGACAATAAAAATTTATGCAAAGGCAAGACTGATCTTCTAGTACTCTTTTTAATGGATCATCAAAAAGATGTTTTTAAGATTCCTGGAACTCTACATAAAATTGTCAGTGTGAAGCTCATGGCCTTACAAGAGGGGAGAGATCCAAACAGTGAAGCAGGGTATATATATTGCCAGAGAATGGATCAAATGGACTATCCCAACAGTACACAGAAGACAACCAAAGATGAGCTGCTGAATTTAGTTAAAACTATTGATGAGGATTCAAAACTATCTGCCAAAGAGAAGAAAAAATTACTAGGTCAGTTCTATAAGAGCCACCCGAACATTTTTATTGAGTATTTTGGAGCCTGAGTTTTAAAATGTTTGTATATAACTTGTATATTTTAAGAATAAATTTTGTATCAATCCTTTTCATCAAAGGCCTTCTCCTTTATCATTGCCTCTGTACCACACATGCTGCCCTTTTCTAGGAACAGGGCCCAAAATATGGAAGATTAAATCTCGACAGCCTTTCCTCTAAGGAGCACGCTGATCTTACATATCTTGTGAGACAGATATGTTCATCTATCATGGCAGTCCATGATGTTTTCAACATTCCTCTCCAACACCATCATTCAAGCGCATCGATTCTTCTTCTGCCTTCTTTATTCAGTGTCCAGCTTTCACATGCATATGAAGGTATTGAAAATGCCATGGCTTGGGTCAAGTGGCCATCAGTCCTCAAAGTAACATCCTTACTTTTCAATACTCTAAAGAGGCCGTGTGCAGCAGATTTACCCAATGCAGTGCATCATTTGAGCTTTTGACTGCTGTGTCAATGAACATTGATTATGAATCTAGGCAAGACAAAAATCCTTAACAATTTCAATATTTTCTCCATTTATCATGATTTTACTTCTTGGTCCAATTGTGAGGATTTTCATCCTTTTTACATTGAGTTATAATCCACTCTTAAGGCTGCAATCCTTGATCTTTATCAGAAAATGCTCTCCAAGTCTTCCTCACTTTCAGCAAGAAATGTGTCATCTGCATATCGCAAGTTGTTAATAAACTTTCTCCCAAATCTGGTCCCCCATCCTTCTTCATATGATCCAGGGTCTTTGGTTTTTGCTCAGCATTCAGATTGAATAAATATGGTGAGAGAATACAACCCTGACACTCACCTTTCCAGATTTTAAACCATTCGATATTCCCTTTTTCTGTATGAATACCTAGCTTCTAATCCATATGCAAATTCTGCATGAGCACAAAGAAGTCTTATGGAATTCCCCTCCTCAATGCTATCCAGAGTTTGTTGTGAGCCACATAGTCAAATGACTTACATAAAACACATGCATACTGCTTATGCATTGGGCTGCTAGTTTAGCAGTTCAAAACCACTAGCTAGCTGCTCATCAGCAGAAAGATGGGGCTTTGTACGCTTGTAAAGTGTCCCAGTCTTGTTAACTCATAGGGGGCAGTTCTGCCCTGTCCTATAGCGTCACTTCGAGTCAGCATTGACTTGATGGCAGTGAGTTTGAGAAACATCTTTCTGGTGTTCTCTGCTTTGTGTCACCATCACTCTGACATCAGCAGTGATATCCCTTTTTCCATGTCCTCATCTGAATCTGGCCTGAACCTTTGGCAATTCCCTGTAAATGTACTGCTGCTAACTTTGTTGAAGGATATTCAGCAAAATTTTATTTGCATGTGATATCAATTATATTGTTCTATCATTTGGGCATACTGGTAGATAAACTATCTGTGAAATGGGTACAAATATGGATTGTGGTTGGAGGAGGGTGCTAGCCCCCCACCACTAATCATGGGTTCAGTAAGCACAATTGTGCAGTTGAGATATATAAAGATTATCATCGAGAGCATGAGAGATAAAAGAGAGATTGGAATAATGGAGTCAGACACATTTCATGGTAGCATGCTCACCTCCTGGATGGCCATGATCTTACCAACCAGGTCCACACACAGCGTGGGCCAGTGCTAGCTGGGGCAGGGACCCGGCAGGATGCTCTAGTACCTGGCAGGTGGTTGGAGGAACCCATTAATTGCTAACCCAGGGTTATGTCCACTTAGGGCGGCGTGATTACAGGTAACCACACATCACAGGAAGGGGCAGTACAATAGGCATATACATTATAGGAAGGGGATGTACAATGGGCATAGGCGTAACAAGAAGGGGATGAACTAGGGCTGTACACATGATAGGGAGAGGAAGAACTAGAGGTATGCATGTGACAAGAAGGACGGATCCTAGATTCATGATGGCAGCCTAACCTTGGTCAGCGTTGGGTGGGCTTGATCTCTCTGGTGTCTCCTACAAGGAAACAGACAACTACTATCCTTATCAGAAGGGAGTGAGCCCTACTTGTTGTGGGATAGACAGTGGTGACTGCTTGGTCTAGATGGCTGAGAACCCTTAGGGAGAATAACCCCTGATCTACTTCTGATGACCTCCAAGTGTATAGTCATTTGCAAGCAGCTAAATTTGGCACATAGTTGTGGGAGACAGCTTGGGAGAAATCCTTCTGTTTCCCACAATGGATCCCTCCCAATTAGTTAGCCAAGTATCTGTTTTCCAAATTTCCTGGCTTAGATGAGTAAGGACTTCTAGTTCTTCATCAGCTTGTTGAAATCTTTCAATTAGTACTACATTAATTCCGGGAACCCTGTGTTTGGCTAAAACTTTTAGTGTACCTTGAATTTCTTCCTTCAGTACCACTGGTTCTGACTCATATATTACCTTTTCAGATGGTAGAATGTCAACGACTTCTTTTCGTCACAGTGACTGTCTGTATTCTTTCTATCAGTGTTTTGCTCACAGGATCTTTCAATCTTGAAAATTAAGGCTTGAGTATTTTCTTCAGATTTCTCAGTTTCAGATATCTTGAGTATGTCCTTCCTTTTGGGTTTCTAACTCTAGATCTTTGCACATTTTGTTGTAATGTTTTACATTGTTTTCTTGAACGGTCCTTTGAAATTTTCTATTCAGCTCTTTAGCGTCATCATTTTTTATATTTGCCTTAGCTTCTCTAGGATCAATCACGAGTTTCATAGTCATTTCTGTCATCCACTTTGATATTTCTTTCTTGGATTTCTAATGACATTTTTTGCATTCTTCATATATAATGTTCTTGATCTCCTTCCACAGCTCCGAGATCTTCTGTCATTAGTGTTCCATGCATCAATTATGTTCTTGACAAGTTCCTGAAATTCAGGTGGGATAGACGCAAGGTTCTAATTTGGCTCTCACAGGCTTCTTTTAATGCTTTTCAGCTTTACCCTGAATTTACATATGAGCCACTGATGGTCTGTTCCCCAGTTGCAACCTCACTTGGTTGTAGCCTCTGATATTGAGCTTTCTCATCCTCTTTCCATAAATGAAGTCTACTTGATTTCCATGTTTCCCATCTGAAGAAGTCCATGTGTACATTTTTCTGTATGTGTTGTTGAAAAAAGTTAGTTACTATGAACAAGTGCACAAGTTCTGTCATACAATCTCCAGCTTCATTTCATCAAAACCATATTTCTACTACTGTTCCTTCCTCTATGTTCCATCTTTTGCATTCCGATCGCCAATAGTTAGCAATGCATCTTTATTTCGTGGCTGATCCATGTCACTGAAGATGGTGGTACTATTCTTTTTCTCCACTGGCTTTCTTGGTTGCGGCATAAATTTGCATAATAGTTGTATTAAGTTTCCTTGAATTTGGATAAATATAACACAGATGCCATTATGCTTCCAGATAGATCTTGAAATGTCCTTTCTGATGTTCCCTTTGGCTGTGTCATTCCAGGCATTTCATTTTGTATTCAAAATAACCAATACTAGTCCATTTCGGCTCACTAACTCCTACTGTTGATTTCAATATGAGATTCTTACTAGCTCTTTCTCAGCTGTTTCTTCTTACCTGGAGTTGTGCCCCATCAGCAAAGGAAGAGCCTGAGGGTTCTACACCTGCAGGCTTTATTCCATTCATATTCATGTCAACATTATTGTCTCTACTTTGAGAGAGCTGCTCCTCGTCAGTCTCATTTTGAGTGCCTTCTAACCCCAGGCACAACAGTTCTCAGCCTGTGGGTCGAGACCCCTTTGGAATTCAAACAACCCTTTCGCAGGGGTCACCTAAGACCATCGGAAAGCACATCTTTCCATTGGAAAGCACATCATTCCGATGGTCTTAGGAACCAAGATACCGCTCCTCTATCTGTCTCCAGGAGGGTCTGCCCACATGCAGATAGGCCCACAAAGGTATACCTGGCGTGAAGACAACCCATGCTACACCATGCTTCAAGACAAAATTTCATTGATTTGTCATTAGAAATAAATATTCACAATGTATAATGACATATTGTTTTTGTGATGAATCACTATGCTTTAATGATGTTCCATTTGTAACAATGAAAATACATCCTGCATATCTGATTATGATTCATAATTATGAATTCATAACAGTAGCAAAATGAAAGTAATGAAGTAGCAATGAAAATAATGCTTTGGTTGGGGGCCACCACCACATGAGGACCTGTATTAAAGGGTTGCGGCATTAGGAAGATGGAGAACCACTGTGGTGGCATATCTTCCAGTCATTAGGCCTTCAATATCTAACAATGTTTTCATACTAGACGTACAGTTTCCAGCAGGACCTTCCTCTGAAGTGGGAGGCTAGTTCTTCATTTGTAGTCTGTTCTTTGCCCAGAAGGTCCCCTGAAACCTACTAACTTTGAGTGACTCTGGCATTTGAAATACCAGTGACATAGCTTCCATCATCCCAGCCACACACAAGTCACGATATTACGGCAAACCGACAGAACAGTCGTGGTTTTTTCACAGTATGGAGACCTATTCCCAGTGCTATGTCTTCCTTTCAGAATTGTCTTTGCTGTTGCTGTACATCCATACTACTTTAATTGTTCTTGTCATTCTCAGGTGCCACCCAGTTGGTTCTGACCCACAGCAACCCGATGTACAATCGAACAAAACCCTGTCCAGTCCTGCACTGTTCCCTCAATTATTTCTGTGCTTGAGCCCATTGCTGCAGGCACGGTGTCAGTCCGTCTTGGTGAGGTCTTCTTTGCTGCCCTTCCACTTTAGCAAGTCTGATGTCCTTCTCAAGGCTCTGGTCTCTCCTGACAACATGTCCAAAGTTAGTTACTGTGGACGAGGTCTTGCTACCTTTGCCTCTAAGGAGCATTCTGGCTCATTTCCAAGACAGACCGGTTTGTCCATGGCACTTTCAATATTCTTCTCCAACACCACAATTCAAATGCACCAATTCTTCTGCGGTCTTCCTTATTCGATGTCCGACTTTCACAGGCATATGAGGCAATTGAAAATACCATGGCTTGGGTCAGGTACACCTTAGTCTTTAAAGTAACATCCTTGCTTTTCAATATTTTAAAGAAGTGT